AACTTGTTGTTCCACTTATTTATGCATTCATTGGTTGGTTGCTTTCTGTATGCACCCTGATGGGGGGATAGAACCCACAACTTTGGTATATTGGGATGATGTCCTAACCAACTGAGCTACCCATCCAGGGTTCCCTAATTTCTTCTTATGTAGGAACTAATTCTATTATATCAAAGCCCTACTCCTATAACCTCATTTGACCTTAATTACCTTCATAAAAGCCCTATGTCCAAATTGTTACATTCAGGCTTCAACACATAAGTTTGAAAGGTAGGGAGACACAAGTCAGTCTATAGCAGAGAGTGAGTAATATAGATATCTTGGGAAAAAACATTTTATTTTTTTGTAAATATTTTTAAAATTTATTTTTAGAAAGAGGGAAAAGAGAGGGAGAGAAATATTGATGTGAAAGAAACACCAAATGCACAACACAGGTATGTGCCCTGACCAGGAATCAAACTGGCGACCTTCTGCTTTGCGGGACAACAGCCAACCAACTGGGCCACACCAGTCAGGAGTGGGGGAAGAATATTTTAGGCAGAGTTTGGGCCAGAGATATGTTAGGGAGTTGTCAGAGTATAGATGATATTTAAAGTGATTGGTCTGGATGAAATCACCAATAGAGTGAATGTAGAGGAGAGAAACAGGGAACTTCCAGCCAAGATAGAGGTATAGGTAGATACACTTCACTTCCTTGCATAACCAAAAGAAAGATAATAACCAATTTAAAAACAAAAAACAACTGGAACTGCCAGAAAATCGAACTGTATGGAAGTCCATAGCGAAGGATTTAAGAAATATTCTTCCAGACTGGTAGGAGGGGCAGAGATGGGAAGCCAGGGTGGTGAGGACACTTGGCAAGGCAACAGCTGATGGAACAGAGTGGGTGAGGCAACAGCTGGCGGACCAGGATATCCCACATTCATGTGCAGATAAGCCAAGAGGAAAAACTGGGAAGCAAGACAGACTGCACAACCCAGGGTTCCAGCTTGGGAAACTAAAGCCTCAAAACTTCTGCCTCTAAAAATCTGTAGGGGTTGCAGCTGTGGGAGAAACTCCCAGTCTCACATGAAGAGTCCATTGAATGGGCCCACAGTCTGTACACAAGCCCATCCACCCAGGAATCAGCACCTGAAAGGGCACAATCCACTTGTGGGAAGTCAGGGAAGTGACTGAAAGGGGGGCAAAAGGCAAGTAAGAAGCATTGTTCCCTCTCTAACCCCTCCCCCACATACAGTGCCACAACATAGAGAAGTGGCTTGCCCCACCCTAACAAATACCTAAAGCTCTGCCCCTTACAACGTAACAGGTGCAGTGAGACAAAGAAATATGGCCTAAATGAAAGGACAGATCAAAACTCAAGAAAAATTACTAAGCAGTGAGGAACTAGCCAGCCTATCACATGCAGAGTTCAAAACACTGGTAATCAGGAGGCTCACAGAAATGACCGAGTATGATCACAAAATAGAGGAAGAAGTAAAGGCTATGCAAAGTGAAATAAAGAAAAATATACAGTGAACTAACAGTGAAGGGAAGGAAACCCAGACTCAAATCAACGATTTGGAAGAGACAGAAGAAATAAATATTTAACCAGAACAGAATGAAGAAATAAGAATTTTTTTAAAGTATTTATTTATTTATTTATTTATTTATTTATTTTTAGAGAGGGAAGGGAGGGAGGGAGAGAGAGAGAGAGAAAGAGAGAGAGAGAGAGGGAGGGAGAGAAATATCAATGTGCGGTTGCTGGGGGCTGTGGCCTGCAACCCAGGCATGTACCCTGACTGGGAATCGAACCTGCGATTCCTGGTTCGCAGCCCGCACTCAGTCCACTGAGCTATGCCAGCCAAGGCAGAAATAAGAATTTTTAAAAATGAGAAAAGGCTTAGGAACCTCCGAGACAACTTTAAGTTCCAACATCTGAATCACAGGGGTGTCAGAAGGAGAAGAGGAAGAGCAAGAAATTGAAAACTTATTTTTAAAAAAATAATGAAGGAAAACTTCCCCAATCTGGTGAAGGAACTAGACATGCGAGTCCAGGAAGCACAGAGAGCCCCCACAGAAATTGAATCCAAGGAGAAACACAGCAAGCCACATCACAATTAAATTACCCAAGATGAAAGATAAGGAGAGAATCTTAAAAGCAGCAAAAAACAAGGAGAGAGTTACCTATAAAAAGTTCCCATGAGACTATCAGTTGATTTTTCAAAAGAAACCTTACAGGGAAGAAGGAGCTGGAAAGAAGTATTCAAAGTCATGATGAGCAAGGACCTACAACCTAGATTACTCTATCCAGCAAAGCTATCATTTAGAATGGAAGGGCAGATAAAGTGCTTCCCATATAAAGTTAAATAAGTTAATCACCACCAAGGCCTTATTATATGAAATGTTAAAGGGACTTTTCTAATAAAAAAAGATAAAAACTATGAACAGTAAAATGACAACAAACCCACAACTATCAACAACTGAACCTAAGAAACAGAAACAAACAAAACAAACTAAGCAAACAACTGGAACAGGAATAGAATCACAGAAATGGAGATCACCTGAAAAGTGACCAGTGGGGAAGGGATGGGGGAGAATGGAGGAAAAGGTACAAGGAATAAGAAGCATAATTGGTAGGTACAAAATAGACAGGGGGAGGTTAAAAATAGTATAGGAAATGGAGAAGCCAAAGAACTTATATGTACAACCCGTGGGCATGAACTAAGGGTCAGGGGAATGCTGGAGGGAGGGTGGTTCAAGGTGGAGGGGGATAAAGGGGTGAAAAAAATAGGACAAATATGATACCATAATCAATAAAATATACTTTAAAAAAGAAAAAAGACAGAGAAACAAATCAAAGGTCTGAATCCTAGTGCAATCCAATGAGGAAGAAGCAGCAAAGGGAACTGAGGAGTAGCCAAGCCAGTGAATGAGGTATGAGGAAACCAGGAGAATGTAGTATCCTGGAAGCCTAGTGAATAAAGCATAGCATTTCAAGTCCTGTCAAATAAGAATGAAGGCTGCGTCTTGACCATTGGATAGACAACACAGAGGTCACTGGTGACCTTATCAAGAGCAATTTCAGTGGAGTGGTAAGGGCAGAGCCTGGTTGGAGTATGGAAGGGGATTCAAAACATTGAATGGACAAGCAACAAAAATTTAAAAAATAGATAAATTAGGCTACATCAAAATTAAAAACTTTTTGCTGTAAATGATACCATCCAGAAAGTGAAAAGACAACCTACAAAAGGGGATAAAATATTTACAAATCTCTTAAGGAACTGATATTCAGAAATATATTTTTAAAACTCATAATTCAGAAATAAAAAACAACTCAAGTTTTTCAAATGGGCAAAGGACTTGAATAGATATTTCTCAGAAGATATGTGAATGGCTGATAAGTGTATGAAAAGATGCCCAACATCATTAGCCATTAGAGAAATGCAAATCAAAACCACAATGAGAAATCACTTCACATCCACTAGGATGGCCTATAATAAAAAAGATGGATAATAACAAGAGTTGGTGATGATGCAGACAAATTGGAATTCTTGTATATTGCTGGTGGGAAGGCAAAGTGGTGCAGAACTTTGGAAAACGGTTTAACAGTTCCTCAAAAAAGTTAGTTTTCCTATTAGATCAGGCCCCCCTCTATGACCTAGCAAGTCCACTTTTTTTCAAGTATATCTAAGATAAATAAAAATATATGTCCACACAAAAATTTGTATGCAAAAAGGGGTACATGAATGTTCACAGCAGAATTTTTTATAATAGCTAAAAAATGGAAACAATCCAAATGTTCATCAGCTGATGAATGGATAAATAAAAGTAGTATACTCAAACGATGGAATAATTATTCAGCAATAAAAAAGAATCAAGTACAGATATATGCTACAATATGGATACACTTGAAAACATTATGCTAAATGAGAGCATCCAGTCACAAAAGACCACATATTGTGTGATTCCATTATATTAAAAGTCTAGAATAGACAAAAGCATAGATATAAAAAGATTAGTGATTGTGTAGTGTTCTATAGGATGGGGAGTGATTAATGGGCAGGGGATTTGTATCTGGGATAATGAAAATACTCTAAAATTTATTGTGATAATAGTTGCACAACTCTGTGAATATATTGAAATTATTAAATTATACATTTTAAATGAATGGGCTTTATGATATGTGAAATATATCCCAATGAAGGTTCTTTTTTAATTGTCAAATGATGACTTGAGGAACAGAAATAAAAATCTAGTAGATACTTATCACTATTTGGAATTCAATTCTAAGTGTATCTGACTCCAAAGCCTCCATGTTCTTAATTATCCTGCTATACTGCCTCCTTGAGATTATCTCCTTAGGTTAGATTCCCAGAAGTAGAATTAATTACTGAGACAAAGGATATGAAAAATTTACTGGAGGGGCTGAAGGAGTCCATACAGCCATCTAGGCTTGCCAGGTACATGGTGCTCTTCTAGGCAAAATAAACTGTTCTTTTCTACTCAAGTGCTATGACTCACAACCTGTTTTGAATGAAACAAATCCTGCTATCATGGCTGATTAACCAGCATGTAAGTACAACCCAAACATATATGTACAGACTAACCAACCACCTAGGCAGTAGCAGTAGCTTAGTGTTCAAAAGCAATACTTAATAACAAGTAATGACAAATCAACCCAATCAAATTCTTTCTTTACAGACATATACATGCCACATGAACAAAGAAAGGTCAAGTTATTCAAGCCCAAATTGTTGAGCTTTTAGCAGCTGTGTGGTAAGTATGGAATGTGAATTATTTGTGGAGAAGCTTTCAGTTGTCATCCAAAGAGTGAACCCAAACACCTCTTGAAGAGAGGGTCACCCCACTAGCAACACATGCATACATAGCACACTGAAGCCAAGTCCTTTATGCTAATATAATCATACTAAGCATTCTTCGAGGATAAAGGAGTTTTCAAAGAGAAATCAAGTCACTCCATCAGATCAAATTATTGTATCAATAAAAACTTTAAATAACTCTCCTACAAGGTGTGTCTGTGGTTCTCTGTCTTTGGACATGTAAGAATTGGGTGTAAAGAAATGTAGCCTTGGAGAAGTCTGGGGCCAGCTTACTCCCCGCAGGCTCAAGATCAACCATCTCACATACAAAGAAAAAAAATAAATAAATAATCTTTTGTTTCAAGGTGGGGGTGGGAGGGGGAGATAAACAGAAGCTAGAACATCTAATCCAATAAGGACGCCAAACCTTTTAAATCTTCATCTTTCCTCAAACCTTAGCAACCTAACCCTCCTGACCTGAATTCAGCCAATGAGTTTGCCTTTTATGTCACTGGGAAAATACACGTAATCAGATAGAAACTTTCTCATCCTCTCACTACCACATCACATCTACCAACATCTGTATCAGTACACATATTCTGTTTTCTCTCCTGTGACAGAGGAAAAAGTGACCTTATTTCTATTCAAGATCAGTCATCTCATTTAGGCTCTATATTCCATCCTCTCCTAGCCCACTCATCGACTTTACTCCTGAAGTTTTCCCTAATCTTTCCTGCATTATCAATTCCTCCTTTCTATTGAAAACATACAAGCATGCTCTATTACCTCCTTCTTCATACTTAAAAAAAAACTCTTCTGGGATATTTTTAAAAAATGCTTTTGGAGTGAGGAAGGTTTTAAAAGTATGACAGCCTTGGATGCTGTGGTTCAGTGGATTGAGTGCTGGCCTGCACATCAAAGGGTTGCTGGTTCAATTCCCAGTCAGGGCACATACCTGGGTTGTGGGCCAGGTCCCCAGTTGGGGGTGCTCGAGAGACAGCCACACACTGATGTTTTTCTCCCTCTCTTTCTCCCTCCCTTCCCCTCTAAAAATAAATAAATAACATATTTTTTTTTAAAAAAAAAGAAAGTATGACACAAAACTCACATAAATTCAACTATGTTTTAAAAAATTCTGCAAAGCCCTAACTGGGGTGGCTAAGTTGGTTGGGCATTGTCCCACAAAGCAAAAGGTCACTGTTTGATTCCCGGTCAGAGTACATGCCTGGATTATGGATTTGGTGCCTGGTTGGGGGGTGTACGAGTGGCAACTGATCAATGTTTCTCACATCGATGTTTCTTTCCTTCCCTCCCCCTTTTTCTGAAAATAAATGAATAAAATCTTTTTGAAAAATAAAATAATTAAAATTCTGCAGAAAAAATCACTATAAACAAAGTGAAAAGACATAGTTGCAATTCATGTCACAAAGAGAGGGCTAACTTGCTTGATATATTAAGAGCTCCTAAATTCAATAAAAAGACCAACACTCATTAGAAAAATCAGCAAAAAATAGGAAGAGACAATTCAAAGAAAAAATAATACAAATATCTTTTAAGCTTTTGACAATATATTCAACTTCACTCAAAATAAAAGAAATGCAAACTAAAAGAGACCATTTGGTGCAACACCAAGAGACTGTTTTTCACTTACTAGATTGACAAAAATAAAAAATTTGATAACACATTGTATGAAGAAATAGGCCTTTTCATCATTGCCGGAAGGACATACTGGTACAAATTATAGAAACATTTTGGCATCATATCTATCAAACTTGCAAATGTACTTACCCTTTGACTCAACAATATTCTAATTAATTTTATCCTACAGATATATTGTCACACACATAAAAAGACCTATATACAAAGTTATTCATTGATGCTTTATAACAGCAAAAGTTTGAAAGCCACTTATTCATCAATAGGGATCACTAAGGGAATGAATAAATAAATTACGTAAAACAACACAATGCAACCATGAATAAAGAAAGCAGAAGACCTTTCTGTATACCTATGTGGAACAATCTCCAAGACATGATGATAAATGGAAAAACAAAGGACAGAAACAGAATATACAGTGAGCTGCCACTTGTACATTTGTTTAAAAGAAGGGGACCTGGCAGAGTAGTTCAAATTTTCCTTTCTCCCTCTCTCTCTCTTTCTCTTTCAAATCAATACATTTGAAATAAAAGGATAACAGGTGAAAGAATGCATATAAATATGTGCTTGTACATACAGAGAATATTTCCAGAAGGGTTCATGAGGTACTGGAAGCATTGAAATCAAGGAGGAAAACACTGATTGAGGGAAAGATGTGTAAGTGAGATTTTCACCGTATACCCTTTGGTACCCTTAAAATTTCATCCTGGCTGGTGTGCCTCAGTGGATTGAGCACCGGCCTGTGAACTAAAAGGTTGCCAATTCAATTCCCTGTCAGGGCACAGGCCTGGGCTGTGGGCCAGGTCTCTATTTGGCAGAGAACAAGAGACAACTAATTGATATCTCTCTCACACATCGATGATCAAGGTGATGTTTCTCTCCCTCCTTTCTCCTCTCTCCGAAAACAAATAAAATCTTTAACTAAAAATAAAAAATAAAATGTTGTACCATGTAATATGATTTATTCAAAAATTTGTTTTTGTTACAAATATTTTTAAAGTTTCCCTCTCAGTTATCACCCTATTTCTTTACAAAACTACTCAAAGGGTTTGTCTCTACTTGTCTCTGCTCATCTCTATTCTCTCTTCAATCTATTCAAACCTAGTTCTTGTTTTCACCATTCTACTGAAACTGCCTAGTCCGGGTCATTATAACTTCCATCTTGCCAAACCCAATGGCCATATCTCTACCTTTATCTTAACCTCTCAACACTTAATATTCAACACTGTTGATGACACCCTCCTTGAAATAATTTCTTTTCTTTGCTTCTAGATTACTTTATTCTCTTAGTTTTCTTCTCACCCCCTTGGTCACCCCTTTATCATCTTAGTTGGGTCCTCCTCTTCCTCTACCTAACTTGTAAAGATTGGCTGTGTCTTTTCTACTCTATCCAAACTTTGCCCTAGATAATCCCATCCAGCTCCACAGCTTTAAATACTGCTATTTACCACCTAATTTGTAATCCAGCCTCAATTCTCTTCCCTTAACTCCCAGACTCATGTTATACACCAAACAAATCTACTAGGATGTCTAGTTGGCATCTTAAACTTAATATATGTAAAATAGAACTACTGATTTTTCTCCTAGAAACATCTATTTCGGTATTCTCCAGCTGAGTAAAAGGTTCTTCTGGATATTCACAGTTGCTCAGGTCCAAAACCTAGGAATCATCTTTGATTCCTCTTTCCCTGATACATATATCAAATCATCAATAATTCTTTCAGTTTTGCCTTTAAAATATAACCCAGCCATAGCTGGTGTGGCTCAGTGGATTGAGCACTGGCCTACAAACCAAGATGTCACCGGTTTGATTCCCAGTCAAGGCACATGCCTGGGTTGTCGACCAGGTCCCCAGGTCCCCAGTTAGGGGCATAGGAGAGGCAACCGACTGATATATCACTCACACATTAATGTTTCTCTCCCTCTCTTTCTCCCTACCTTCCCCTCTCTCTAAAAGTAAATAAATAAAATCTTCAAAAATAAATAAAACCCAAACCCATTTACTTCTTATGTCCACAGCTTCCTAGTCTGAGGCACCATCATCTTTTAAAAAAAAAATTTTTAATGTTGTTCAATTAAAACCCCCCCTCCCCAGTTACTCTCCCCTGCCCAGCCCACCTCCCCTCCAACATTCAGTACCCCCACCATTGTCCTCATCAATGGGTCCTTTATACTTGTTCCTTGAGTTGACCCTTCTCCTGCTCTCCCCCTTTACTCCCTTCCCATATCCCTTCTAGTCACTGTCAGTTTCTTCTTATCATCTTTCTGGTGTGGTACTCATCTTTTGGCTATTATTTGTGATTTAGTAATTCTACTTCCCCAAATATACCATGAGCTTCTCAAGAGCAGTATCCATATCTTAGGGGGTTTTTTTTGTGTTCTGTTATAGTACATTATAGCTATTTAATTAGTGTGATAAGTAAATAAATTATGAGAGGAATTAATGAGTGAATCATGATAAGTAAACCATGACTCAGTTTGCTAATAGCACCAACATCCAATGCCTTTGTTTATTTCCTTGTAGTTCTTTGCTGGACAGTCCACATCTTTACAATTAGTAGGCACCCACTAGGTTTTCTGTCCAGCATCCTATTTTTTGTGAACTGATTTTTCCACCTCTCATCACAGTAAATTCACCTGATAATGGTAGTGGTCCCTTGGCAGTCATTTTCTGAAAATTTTTAATATCAAAAGACACCATAAACTAAATCAAATGGAAGAAAAAGTCCTTGTAGACAAAGGGTTAATACTAGTAATGTAAAAGAAACATATACATTTATAACAAAACAATAAACAACACAGCTAGGGAAAAAATGGGCAAAGGATAAGAGCAAACAATTTATAAATGATGAAATATAAATGTCCCCAAAAACAAAACAAAGCAAAGAAAACAGATGGTGCTCAACTTCACTAATAGTCAGGTATATACAAAACAGATTTCTTTTAATTGTGGTAAAATATATATTACATAAATGGTATCACTTTAACCACTTCTAAACATACAGTTTAATAGCATTAAGTACATTCACATAGTTGTGCAACCATCAACACTATCCACCTCCAGAACTATGTCATCATCCCAAATTGATACTCTGAACCCATTAAGCAGCAACTCCACATCCCCTCTACCCTCAGCCCTTGATAGCTACTATTGTACCATCTGCCATGAATTTGACTATTCTAGGTACCTCATATCAGTGGAATCATATAATATTTGTCCTTTTGCATCTGTCTTATTATTTCATAATGTTTTTTTAAAGATTTTATTTATTTATTTTTAGAGAAAGGGGAAGGGAGAGAGAGGGAGAGAAACATCAATGTGTGATTGCCTCTCACACATACCCAACTGAGGATCTGGCCCGCAACCCAGGCATGTGCCCTGACTGGGAATCCAACCAGTGATCCTTTGGTTCGCAGGCTGGCATTCAATCCACTGAGCCACACCAGACAGGGCTATTTCATAATGTTTTTTAAAATTGATGCTTTAATCAGAGAGAGAGAGAGAGACATCTATTCACTGTTACACCTGTTTATGCATTCATTGGTTGATTCTCGTATGAACCCTGACCCAGGATCCAACCTGGAACCTTGACTATTGAGACAATGCTCTAACCAACTGAGCTACCCAGCCAGGGCAGCATAATGTTTTCAAGGCTCATCATGTTGTACCAT